GCTTGGGTGGAAATTACCTCGTGTATGGGATATACAGTCTGAATTTATTATCTCTCCCCCACCAACTGGTTTGTTCTCTATCTTCATTTGTATCACTACCAGCTTAACCCCAAAACATAGGTTATTCTGATTTCTGCCTTCCTACTCTCTCACAGTTAATAACCAGTACTTTCCTATTTTCCTTCATTTGTAATTTTTCAATTTATCACTCTCTTCTCCATTCCTCTTCGTTACTAGGTACTTATTTGAACTGATGCAGCAGCAGCATCTGTTTCATTGCTTTATTTCAATTTTATCCACTCAAATCTATTTTCCACATACTGGCTGAGGTGTTTTTTCTAGAACATCAGTCTAACCATATCACTTCCCTGCTTAGCAGGTACTGGATCGTCATCACCTAGAAGAATATCTCGGTGTCTAGGCTGGGCATACAGAGTCCTCCACAATTTTGATTTTGATTCCACTGAGCTGCCCTTGAGAGTCAACTTAGATACCACCTCATTCAGAAAGTCCATTTTGGTAACATCTTGACACCCCATACCTCACCTCTCTTGAGTTAGGTGCTTTGCTTTAGGGCTTCTCAATGATTGGTGCCAGTGTTTTGTTGTTTTATATATATATATATATATTTTTTTTTTTTTTAATTTATTTTTTTATGGTGACATTGGTTAATGAAATCCAATAAGTTTCAGCTGTACACTTTAACAGTAAGGCATATATACATATATTTACACTGTGTGTTTGTTGTTATATTTAAGAAATGCTAAAAGATGATGTTACTACTTCAGCTGGATTGCATTTCATGGCCTCTGTAAGAAAGAAAGCTATAGGATGTCAGGATGCAAGTACAAATACAGATCCAGGTAAAATGCTATTTATTTGTAAAAATTCGTATGTTTTGCAATATTTAATATATGTAGACTTTCTCTTCAGAACTGATTTACAGGAAATTTTAAATTATGTGATATTAGTTAGTCATTTCAGCTTCTTGTCCCTAGCCCTGATATATACTTTACACATTTTAAACTTAAAATCAAATCTTCAGTTGAATTTATGATATCTTGATTAAAACATAATAGAGATATTTGTTCAGAAATGCCATGGACTACATCTTAAATCAGTAGAAGTGTTTCAAATTCAGGTTCTCTAGTCCATTAATTGCCTTCACTGAAATTTCATGCTTCAGATTGAGAGGCCTGGACTTTTGGCCAATAAAATTGAATAGGAAGAAGACTAGATTGGGTTTAACATGGGAAGAGTATGTGTGACTGTGTCCAAGAATAGAAGAAATAAATGTTGGGGGAGCTGTTTGGAATTTTGCCTAACAAACTTCCTCATTAATATGTGCTCTGCCCTTTGTGTTTTAGTAATTCTTTTATATATTTGGGATACAGTTTCTATTAACTATATAGAACCTTGTAAGTGACTTTTTAGACCTCTAATTTTATAATGTTTTAAAATAATATTTATTGCTATGGTTTCAAAATAATATATGATCATCGTAGAATGTTTAGATAATATAGCAAGCCACGAAGAAGATGAAATTAATGATCACACTGCTCAAGTAAAATTTTGATTTTTTTTTTTCCTCTTTTGTACGTTTTACATAGTTAAATATGAGATATAGTACAGGCGTGCTCCTTGACTATCTGAACTCTCATTGTCCTGGTATTACTGCTGTCTTCCTTTCGAGTTTAACCCTTCATGGGTCCCAGTGTTCATTTTTTTCCCAGGTACCTTGGGACACTCTCTAGTTAATGTTTTTTTTTTAACATATCATTTCATTAGTTATTTACATTATAGTGCATGTTTGCTGCGGTGTTGAAGGTAATTCATATCTGATATGTTCAGTATTGTGTATTGCACAGAAATTAATGGATTAAATGAATGTTAATTAAGTGATGTTTAAAATGCTTAGTATTATTTAATAATCTTTGATGGATAATTATTTAGGTGTTTAAGAGTTTAATGATATTTGGGAGATTGGATGGGCTAGGACACCTTTTTCGTCTCTTTCAAGATAGTGGAATAAAGTCTCCTGGTATCCAACTCTGCAGCACATTTTCAGGAATAGATTAGATTAGGATAACAAGGATTACCTGTATTTTGTATTCTTTGTTTTTTACTTTGATTTCTGCTGAAGGTGACAAACATTTCCATATCATCAAAAAGTACTTTGTAAGCACATTCCTTCTTCCACTTGTGCCATAAAATATTTAACCAATTCCTTATTGTTGAATGCATTAGTGATTTCCAGTATTTTTCTCCTATTAATAATTCTTCTGTGAGTTATCTTCTTGCATAAGAGCCTTTTTTTTGTCACCAACTATGATTTAGCTCATTGTTTTGACTTTTTGGATTGGTAAAATCTACTGTTTTTTCATATTTCTTTCTGAATGAAGTTGAGCATGTATGATGTTTTGTGATGAAATGATGAGCATGCATTTGAGACCTTTTAAATTTTTTTTCAATTACAGTTGACATTCAATATATTGGTTTCAGGTGTATAGCATAGTGGTTAGACATTTATATAACTTAAGAAGTGATCCCCCCAATAAGTCTAGTACCTCCCAACACCATACATATTTATTACAATATTATTGACTATATTCCCTACGCTGTACTTTACATCTCCATGACTATTTTGTAACTGCCAATTTCTACTTCTTAATCCCTTCGCCTTTATCACCTAGCCTCCCAACCCCTGCCCCTACCTAGCAGCAGTCAGTTCTCTGTATCTATGAGTCTGTTTCTGTTTTATTTTGTTCTTTAGATTCCACATATAAGAGAAATCATATGGTATTTGTCTTTCTCTGTCTGATTTATGTCACTTCGCATAATATCCTCTAGGTCCATCCATGTTGTTGCAAATCGTGAGAGTTCGTTTTTGTTTTTTTTTTTATGGCCGAGTAATATTCCATTGTACATATGTACCGCATCTTCTTTATACAGTCGTCGATTGATGGGCATTTAGGTTACTCCCCTGTCTTGGTGATTGTACATATACTGCAGTAAACATAGGGGTGCATATGTCTTTTCAAAATAGTGTTTTGGATTTCTTCAGTTAAATCATTTGAGACTTCTTACATTTATCATTGAGAAAGCCTTTGAAAGTTCTTGCTGGGTAGTCTTCTAAAGTCTGCAGCCTATTTGCTAAGAGTCTGTTATTCATCCAGGTTATCCTGCCCAGAATATAAAAAATAATAAAATCTGAAATTATCATATTAATTTTTTTAGAATAAAAAATTTAAGCTGTCAATCTACTTTTTACTACCTTATATAACCAATTTCTTAAAATCTACATTCATATATTTAATTTTTTCTGTTTGCAAAATCTATTTTTTTCTGTTTTCTCTTTTTGCCTCAAATCTCCTGACTACAAGATAAAGAAGCTGCTTCTCAAGAAGTTGTTTTTGAATGTCATAAAAATCAACAAATCATTTCCTCCGCATCAGGTATGATTTCTTTCTTTTCTTTTCTTTTACTTTGAGAAGGCATGACTAATTAAAGATTATGTCTGCATGATGCCAAAATAGGAGTTACCATCCCCCATAAAAAAAAGTTAAACCAATAAATCAATTTAATAGAGATAGAATGATAATTTAAAATTTTTCACTTTCCTTTTTTCTAGTTTTATGGTTGTCATGGTTTAAATTCAAGCCTTGGTGCAAGTTTCCAGTACCCAAATAACAATGAATTATGTTTTGCATATAAAATTTGAAACTAATCTCTTCTTTTAAATGCTGGGAAATAAGATTAGACTGTCTGCTGACCTATTGTGACAAGTTCTTTATCTTACCTTTGAATAAGAAACTAATGAGTTTTATAATATTTAGATATTAAACAATTTAAGTGGTAAAATTTAGCTATGAGCTCTTTGAATTTACTAAAACCACCTAATTGTACCCCTTTAAAGGATGTGAATTATTCTTAATAAAGCTATTAAAATAAACAAGTAAACAGTGTTGAAAGTAAAAAAGAAATTAGTTATGGGTTAATTTCCTAAGATCTGGTTTTATTGAAATTCTCCTAAATAAACATGACAATATATCTGAAATGGTAATAGGAAATATAGCGTTTTCTTGACATGACTTAGATACTTTATTATTCTTGTGAATCGTTCACATGAAAAAAGAATAGTCAATCTGCATTCAACTAAGAATTACTCTAAATTGCCTTTAGAATAGTATTTGCTGTAATTTAATTATACCTGTGAAATTTCTACATATATCTTCGGCAAATACATTTTATGTTGTTTGTTGCTAATTTGTTCTTATGAAGTTAATGCCTTAGAGCTATTTATGGATTTTATATTTCTGGTTTTTCTTTTAATTTTCAGAATGTGAACCTTTGAATGTTCCTCAGCAATTGGCTCCAGATGTATGTCTAAATCTCAAACTCTCCACTGAAATATCAGAGAGACCTTTGTCCCCTTCAGCATCTGATAAGGTATTGAATTTGGTTTGTGTTTTATTAAGAAGTTTTAATACCTTTATGCTAAGATTTATTATGGTCATTCTCATTATTCAGTTGTATAGATGCAATGAGTCTAAAAATCTCACCTATGTAGCTTTCTTGGAAAAGTCAAACATTAAAATTTAAATATTATACCCCAAAATATTTGCGAACTAAGACCATAACATACTTCTTGCAGCTTTCTGTAAAAAGAGCTCATATGAGCTCTTCTTGGTTTCAGAATTAAATTTTTTTTACTGCAGGGCTTGGGGTGGGCAGAGTGGCCATATAGAGTAAAAGAATGTAACCCTTTTTGATTTTATGTGTTTTGGCTTAGGTCGGACACACTTACATAAATGTGATTGACATTGAAGCTGATGATCTAGAGGAATTACCTTTCAGAGAAGAGCCTTCAGATGATATTATCAGACAGCATCTAGAAGTCCCATCTTCTGCAGAGTTACATTACATGGCAACTTCAGTTACTAGTGCTGTTCCCCTGCGCAATTTTAAGAGTCAGGGTATTTTTTTCCTACTTTTTAAAAAAACATTTTGAAGTTATTTAATATAGCATTGTTAACCCTACTTACATTTCTTAGCTCTCCTGATCTATCTGATCTACTGTACTTTTGGATGTTTAAATTCACACTGAGGCATGTTCTGTTAATCTTCCAAATACTTTGTTTAGAATCAATCTTTGTATGCTTTTCATATTCTTGTTAGAATCTGACAGTTCTGCTGTGGACTTATTTATTAAACCTGCAAAAGTTTCTCCATCCTCTCTGGATAGAAGAAGCTGGAGAGCAGGCATTACAAAAGCAAAGGAGCCTGGTATCGCCTCACCCACATCATCAGAAATACAGCAGGACAAAGGTGAATGCCCTAGATGTATAGCATGACTCTTTAACTTCCCTGAATTACTGTTATATTAGAAATAAGCACTAACACTTGGTAATTGCAAAAGAAACAAGAAAAAGGCTTTTCCCTTGCTATGGAGAGTGAAGGCAGATAGGTAAATGGGATGGATTTCCAAAGCAGAGACCCATGGATATTTTGCAGGGAGATTACAGATCTATTTGTGCATATGTCTTTTCTCAAGTAATGAGGCTAAAAATAAATACTCTGTTGGATTTCATGAATGTTTTGGTGTTAAAAAGGAATTCTCATTTAAAAAGGTGAGAAATTCTAGAATTGCACATAGAAAATACATAAGCATGGTAGTCAACAGCATATTATTAGCAAAATATTTCATTTTATAGTCATAAATCAGGTTGCATTATTGTAAAATATTTGCAAGCTTTCGAAGAATATTTCTTCAAAATCTAGTTATGACATCCTGCGAGCGTTTGGATTAATATGCAATCGGACTTTCTGTAACAGGAAGTCTTCTGGGTTCCACAGTTATTAGGAGGAGTGGACCCAGCTTTGTGGTTGTCCTGCACTGCCCATTCATTGTGTATAAACGGCGGGCACTCAGGAGAAGTGAGGAACAAGGAAGGGATGAGTGGCAGGGCATGTATGTTACTGCTGCATAGACAGGTAAGTGCCAGTATTTCAGATTTTGAAACCATTGCCCTCTCTTCTGTCACATGATGACAGAATTCTGCTAGGTGTGTGGGTAGTGGAGGGAGGATGTGTGAAGCTAGCATACATCTAGCTTTCAGCCTGGGAAGTGAAAAGAGCATGGTATTTAGATTCAAATAGAACAGACCTGGGTTTCAATCCCACTTCTGTCACTTAATAATACCTTGGAGACTTTTTGCAAGATGATTAACATTATCTCATCCTCACTTGTATCTCTGTGGGACTCAACCTTAACAGTGTTGTCATAAGGGTTACATCTAGCCAAATGCCTGTGGCTACTTAGGTATCCTGTTAGTTGGTTTTCAAGTAAAGTTTTAAAAAATCATTAAGATATTAAAGTTGCTTTTGATGGAGTGTATTTTTGTAGCAGAGGATAAAAGTAATATTCAAACTGCCTTGTGTATGGAGGTTTGTGGTCATAGTAAGAGATATGCATTCTTATCTCAACAGACAAATCTCAAGTCAAGAAGCCAAAATAGTATTTCTAAGTATATTAAATTAAAACTGATTTGAAAGGGAATGTTATGTTGACTTAAAATAAGATCTTCAAAAAATAAATCATCAGCATCTACCGCTCTTTTAATTACAGTCAATTTTGATATTACCTTTATTGATATTTAGATATGCCAAAGCCAGAATTTCGATTCAAAGAACAGAGCTCAGAGTCAGATGCTGCAGAAGATTATCAGCTGCCAGCTGACCTTCTGCAGGAACCACTGCAGGATGTCTTCGCCGCTCGTCCTGCTGCGCCGAGCTCTGCAGCTTGCCACCTAGAGCATCTCACCTCTAAGCTTCTGGAAATTGATGAACAGCTGCTAGCAATACAGAACATTGCTGAAAACATAGAGCAGGATTTCCCCAGACGTGGAATGCTAGAGCGACATTATGATAAGGTAGACTGTCTTTATTTTAGTTTGTTTGGTGCTGAGTTATTAGGTTTATAGTGTTATATAATTTTGGACACTTGATTTTTCAAAATAATAAGAATTTGGTTTATGCTAGAGTTTCTCAACCTCAGCATTACTGACATTGGAGCCTGGTAATTCTTTGTTGCAGGAGGCTGCCCTGTGTATTGTGGGACATTTGGTAGCACCCCTAGTCTTTACCCGCTAGCTGTCAACAGCATTCTCTCTAGCTGTAATAATCAAAAAATGTCTGCAGACATTGTCAAGTGTCCCCTGGGGGGGCAAAATTGCCCCCAGTTGAGAATCACTGCCTTAAGCTTTTAAGGAGTAAACCCATGCTTCCTACCATGAAAAGAAATACATGAATTACAAAACCAGAATGTGGTTTTTAAACAAACCCTGCTCCTAATCAAGTATCATTTTCTTCAGCAAGTTATTCGTAACTTTACAAATATCGTTGTCCTTATACTTGGAATTCTCAGTTTCTTCAAAGTATTTTATGCAATGGCTTAGTAGTCCTTAGAAGTTTTCTGTATGTTTAAAAAGTATTCATAATAAAGAGGTTAATGTTTATCTCTATTAGTATCTTGGTAGTTAGACAAATAAAAGGAAATCTCAGCATTAATTAATTATTGTGCACAAATATCCTATCTTTTTTTTTTAGGAAGTAAAATTTATATAAAATAAAGATTAAAGAAAAAATAGTAAAAATATTTTGAATGTGTTAAAGCCTTATAAATTGGGAAATACAAATTGGTCTACATGATAAGAATTTCATTATTGACATAACTACCAAATATTCCAGGTTGTTAGCATGTTGACATTTTAAAGATACATTTATTAGGTTTATAGTGTTTCTTTAATCCAAACATCTCACACATATTAAAAAGTTAAGATTAAACATATGTGGAACTACACTGAAAAAATATGCAGTAGAACTACTTACTATTAAATAATACTATGATATTTACTTGGTTTTTTTGTTGTTGTTGTTGTTTTAACCTTGATTTGGATCTGTCATTTCCAAATGAATGTAGAGTGTCACAGTTGTCCTTGGAACTCCTTATGCCTGTGTTCTTGTATATTAAGCATATCGAAAGCCAGATGTGTTACTTACACTTAAATCTAGTCTTTGTGCTGACTCGGTCACTCTTACCAGAGTCCATGAATCTCTTATTTCTTCAACAAACATTTATTGAGCTTCTACTACATGCTAGGCCCTGTGCTAAGTTCTGGGAATAGAAAGATAAATAAGGCATCATCCTTACTCTCAAGGAGCTTAGAATCTAATAAAAGAAGATAGAAATATACATACACCAGTAAACACAAGTGAGCAGGATATGGCGAGGACACACAGGCACACATGGCCTGTTGTGACTAGACAGGTAAATGAAACTGTGCCTGTAGAGAAGGCTTTGTAGAGGTGACTCTTAAGCTGGTAGTGAATTGATATTCATCAGTAGATAAGGAAGAGCTGATGAAACATTGTGAGCAAAAACAGAAAGGTGTCAAACGGCATAGAGTGTTTGGGGAAGTGAATCAATATTAGCTGGAGGTAGAAGTTGTTGGGACTGAGCTTTAAGAAGCAGGTAGGAGCTTGATAAGGAAGGATGGAAAGTATTGTTTGGGAACCGGCCAAGAGTTTAGGATTTTATCTTATAAGCAGAAAATGAAGAACAACTGAAGAATTTTAAGCAATGAAATGTTATGATCAGATACCCTGTCAGCAGTGCAAAGGGTAGAGTACAGAGGGTATGGTGGAGAGCAGGAAGGTCAATTGGACCACAGTGGTTCTGAACTGGCTGCTCATTAGAATCATCTTAGAAACCTGTCAGAAAGGCAAACTTATGGGCCCCCTACCCGTGACCTTCTGATTTTAAGTAGGTCTGGGGTGGAGACCAGGAATATGTACTATTAACAGCTTCATAAATTATTCTTATGTAGCTAGCTCTATATGAGGTCTACTGATTGGTATTTGCAATCCACTGACTACCAAGCCAAGACTTAATAATAACCTGAACTTTAGCATTGGAGATGGAGGGAAGGATGTAGCTGAACTCAGGTTAACTGGCTGTGGGAAGGTGAGAAGAATATAGAGATTCACAACAGTGTCCACACTTCCAGCCTGGATGAATGGTGTCATTTTCTAAACTAGGGAAGAGGAAGTGTGTGTGTTTTGGGAAGAGGAAAGCACAGTGCTTTCTGTCCAGGTTATGTTAAATTTGAGATGCTATGAGATTAGTAGGCAGTTGGACATATGCTTCCAGACCCCAGGAGCAAGATCTGGGTTAATGGTACAGATTTTGGAGTCATCAGTCGGGAGGAAGTTCAAATTACAATAGTAGGGACACTCACCCAGAGAGCACATTGAGTGAGGAAAAAAGGAGGATCAAGTACAGAATTCTGGGTGCACTGACTTTTAATGATGAGCATTCAGCAACAAAGCCTGAGAAGGAATAATCTAAGGTCATAAGAGTCTCAGGAGAAAGCAAGCCAAAGGAGAAGTTTCAAGAAGGAATTTCTATAGTTCTGGGTCCATTAGATAGAAGGACAGCTGTGCATGTCCTGATCACTTGGGATGCCTTTTCCAAATATACAGACTAGCTCTACTGAATGGGGGGTGGCGGAGCGTCATACACATGGATTTTGAAGTTTCTGAAAATTCCCCTTTTGGCCCTGGCCTTTTAATATTGGAGGGTAGAGACTGTCTTTTGCTTGGTACACGGCAGGCGTTTGATAAATGTTTTTTTAATGACTATCTTTGCTCTCTCATTTGTAGATTCTGACTAATAAAATCACATTTATATAATAAACGCTTATCACCAGAAGTTATTAATTGTAGCACAAACTTCAAAGACATTTTCAAGGAAGAGTTCTAAAAATGGTTGATCAAACTCCATAAGTATTTAATTTCTTTTTTCTAGTATTTAATTTCTTTAATCCAAACATTTAACACATATTAAAAAGTTAAGATTAAATATATGTGGAACTACACTGAAAAAATGAGGTAGAACTACTGTTATGCAACGATACTAAGTATTTAGTCTCCCAAGGTGACTACTTCGAAGGAAATATTAATTTAAACGAAGGTTTGGCATATTGGTTTAAGGTGTTCTCTTCCTATTATAATGCACACATAAATACAAAGATACTGACTTGCCCGTTTTACTTAAAAAAACAGCTGTATGCCTGGAGGAGGCAGCGGGGTATGCTGGACGAGCACTAACTAGGAGCCTTGAAGTGCTGGGTTCAGATGCCACTAACAAAGTCACTGAATTTCTCTGGGCCTTGTTCTCTCTTTAAAATAAAAGGTTTTGTATAGATGGTAGTTAATATTGCTCCCCATTCTAAAATTATATGATATATTCCTGAGCCTCTTAAAAGTTTAAATCAGTTTAGCTACAAATAAGTAAAATATCCTCCTCTTCATTGATCCCCACCATTTAACTCATTGGATTTAATCCTATTTCTTTTGTTGCATTAATGCAAATGTTTAAAACCTACATAAAACTGTTTATAATATTTTGAAATTATCAGACTACAAAATTTGTTATTTTCCTGTGTGTTTTTCTACAGTTTGAACCTGTGGATCACATTGAATTGTCTCCTGGCCCTGAATCTGAAAAAACATTGGCTTCAAAAACCATTAGCATTCCCAAAGAAGGTCTGTGGGGCATTGCGAGGGGCGGGGGGAGGGGAGGGGTAGATCTGAAGCCTTGCTTTAAAAGAATAAGCATTGCCTTTTGGGAATGCTGGAAATACAGATAGTTGTTATATGTGAGTTGAAGCCATCAGTATCCCACCCTCAATTTTTAGACTGGGATTATTTTTGTGATAATGTGATTGGCTCCCACCTCAGGCCATTTTTTCCTGAGAAGCCTATGTCTCACCTCAGGCCTTTTTTTTTCTGTGAAACCCATGGTGTTGCCTCTTCTGGCTTTTATACCAGAGTGGAGCAGTGTGGGCTGCACATTAGTTTTTGTGACTCCACGCTACCAGCCACACACAGCTGGGGAATACACAGAGCTTTGTGCTAAGTTGCTATTTGTCTGGGGTCATCAGCTGTGCTGGAATTTGAGGTTCTGGTTAAGTGGGCGGGCAGTGTTGAAGTTTTAAGTTTTTGTATTTTTTTTGAAAGGATGAAATTAGGGTAGTTATTTTTTAAAATTTCTACTGTATCTGTAGTTGTTTATATCTGCATTCTCTCTCTCATTCAGTCTTGTCAGCAGTTAATGTGTTCAAAAAAACCAGGCTTTGGTGTTGATTCCCTATTGTCTTGATTTTCTTTTCATAAATTACTATTTTTAGCTTTATTATTTTTTCTGCTTTTGGAGACTGGTTGGATTTTTCCTAACTTCATTCTTTTTCTAATATACACATTTGAGGCTGAACATATTCCTGCAAGGACCTAGACAAAGTGTTGATATATACTATCTTTTGGCACTGTTCAGATATAAATAGTTTGTAATTTGTATTAAGAGTTCTTCCTTGCTTATAAAAGGGCTTTTTTTTAGCTTCCAAATATTATGGGGTTTAGGTTATATTTTTTGTTAATTTCCATTTTCATTGTATTCTGATTAGATCAGTATTCAATAACATCAATTCTTAGGTATTTGTTAATATATCCTTTGTGGCCTAGTGTATGTAGTCAGTTTTTGTAAATGTCCTGTGTTTATTTGAAAAGAATAAGCACTTTCTGTTGGTGTATGTGGGATATACCTACATCTATAGATATAGATGTATAGATAATATAGTTGACCCTTAACGACACAGGTGTGAACTGTGAGTTCACATATATGCAGATTTTTTTCAATAAATTCCTGTACTTTTGATCCATGGTTGGAAGTTTACAGTTTCAGAGGGTGAACTTTATGTATTGATCTACTCTATTTTAGGGAGGACTTGAGCATCTACGGATTTTGATATCTATGGGAGGTCCTGGAACCAATCCCCTGCAATACCAAGGGACAGCAATACCAAGGGACAGCTAAATTTTGGGGGAGTTAAAAGTTATATGTAGATTTTTGACTGCATGGGAGTCAGTGCCCATAACCTCATTAGTTAGGGGTCACCTGTATAGTATAGGCACACGTGGGTGTGTGTGAGCACACGCATACACTTCTAAATTATATTGTCTAGATTTTCGGTATTCTTTAATTTTTTTTTTTTTTTGGTCTGCTTGAGCTATTCATTTCTCAATAAGTGCATAAAAATTGCCAGTGATTATGGAATTGTTTATTTTTCCTTGTAATTTTGTTAAGTGTTGCTTTATATAGTTGAGGCTATGTTATAAAATGAATATAGTTCATGATATTTTTTTGTTGAATTTTGTCCCTTTTATCATTAAATAATGACACTCTATCCCCAATAATGCTTTTAGACTCAAAGTCAGTTTTGTCTAATATTTCCATTTCTACTTTGTTTTACCTGGTATATTTTTTGATACATTTTATTTTTTAAAAACTTATGGAAAATGTCAAACATATTGCAATAGAAGACAGCATAGTATAATTAACCTTCATGTACCCAACAACCAACTTTAATAGTTATCAACTCATGGCCAATCTTGATTTATGCATATACCCACCCACACTTCCCACCTTTCCTGGATTATTTTGAAGCAAATTCCAGACAGTACATTATTTTATCCATACATATTTTATATAGATATTTAAAGGATAAGACCTCTTTTTAAAAACAGACATAATAACATTGTTGCTCCTTATTTAAAAATTTTTGTTTTTAATTTTTATTTTTTAATTACATATGGCATGCAATATTAGTGTCAGGTGTACAACATAGTGATTAGACATTTATACAACTTACAAAGCGATCACACATATAAAACTAATACCCATCTGACACCGTAATAGTTATTACAATATTATTGACAATATTCCTTTTCTATATGTCCCCATGACTATTTTGTAACTACCAGTTTGTACTTCTTAATCCCTTTCCCTTTTCACTCCCCTTAAAAATCTTGATATTGTCATATATCAGTGTTCAAATATTGCCAGTTGTCTCACTTTAAAAAGTAGGTTTTTTTTTCTAGTTGGAATCCAAGTAAGATCTATTCATGGCAATTGCTTGATGGGTTATAAGTCTCCTTTAACTTCTGGGTTCTTCCGCTATCTCACCTTTTTTTCCCCTTGCAATTTATTTGTTGAAGAAACATGGATGTTTGTTCTGAAATGTTTCTCAGAGACTGGATTTTGCCAGTTGAGTCTCTATGATGTTACTTAACATGCTCCTCTGTCCCCTGTATTTCCCATCAGTAAGATATCTCTTATTTACTTATTTATTATTTTTTAATTTTTTATGGTTAATGAAATCCAATAAGTTTCAGCTGTACATTTTAACAGTAAGGCATATATATATTCGTTCACCTCCCAAAGTTAGATTTCTTTCTGTCACCACATACTTGACCTCTTTTACCCCTCCTTCCTCCTCCCATCCCCCTCCCCTTTGGTAAGACATCCCTTTTGTTTCAAGCTGAGTGGTTATGTTGTAGTTGTGTCCAGCATATAACAAATTTCATTTTTTTAAATAGACAGTTTGTGTTTTAATCAAGTATAATCAGTTTCCATTCATTGTGATCACTAATGTATTTGTGCTTATTTCTATAATCTTATTTTGTGCTTACTGTTTACTATGCTTTTTTCTTTTTGTCCTTTCTATTTGATTGAGTTTTCTACATTTTCTCTCTTCCCCTCTATTGATTCAGAAATTATACATTCTATTTTTAACCTCTTAGTGATTATTCTTAAATTTTCAATTTTTATAGTTGAGTTAAAATTTAAGGTAAATATAATTATCTCCTGAACAATAGAATGACTTTAGAGCTTCTTTTAAATTAAAAAAAAAACTTTTTTCATTACAGTTGACCTTTCATATTATGTTAATTTCAGATGTACAGCATTGCGGTTAGACATTTATATAACTTCCAAAGTAACACCCAGAGAAGTCTAGTACCCCCCTGACACCATACATATTTATGACAATGTTATTGAATACATTCCCTATCTTGTTACGTTCCCATGACTGTTTTGTAACTGCCAATTTGTACATCTTAATCTCTTCACCTTTTTCATCCAGCCCCCCAACCCTCTTCCCATCTGGCAACCATCAGTTTATTCTCTGTATCTATGAGTTTGTTTCGCTGTTATTTGTTAATGTGACATTGATGTGCTCTCCCATCTTCTCCGATATTGTTTTCTAATATTTTAGTTCTACCTTGTTCTTAAACCTCCTATTTATTCTTCCTGTTCTTAAACCTTCTATTTATTCAATAGTTATTTGAATTTATCAGCATGTTTGCCATTTTCTTTGCTCTCAATTGCTTTTTTAAAAAATTGTAATTTAAATAATGTAAAAATGTAAACAATATATAAAACCAAAACCCAAGTTTCATGAAATAAATTTTACCCTTATTGCCTGAAATACCCTCTGGCATTTTCTGTCCCTCTTATCATTGCCCACAATTGCTGCTTGCATCCATTCTTTAAGGATTGTTTCCTTCTTCCTTCCTTTATTCTTTTAAGTAGCATCTATGAGTAGTAAATTCTTTCAGTCTTTGAAAATAGCTTTAATTTTACTACAATTTAGGAGTGTTGGTTTATAGCAGAGTACAAAATTCTAGGTTGGTGCTTATTTTCCCTTAGCATTTTAAAGATATTCCATTATCTGCTGACATTTCTAATTGCTGAGTTTATACTACCTATGTGCTATCCAGTTGCTGTTCTTTTATCTCTGATTTCTTTTAAAGTTTTAATTTTGGCTTATTTTACATTTTTGATGCAGGTTTCTAGGTATTTATTTCCTTTTCTTATGGGGGTAGGAATGATTCTTTAATTTTCTGGTTTAACATTAAGAATTTTGGAATATTGCTTCCTCCTCATTCTTTTCTGTTTTCTAAAACACCTGTTAGAAGTATTGGGATCTTCTCAACCAGTTATGTCTCATAACCACTTCTTAATTTCTATCTTTTTATGTACTTTGGGTGATTTCCTCAGATCCATTTTTTAGTCTACTAATTCCTTCTTTTCCTGTGTCGTCTTTGTTTTAGAATTTTAATTTTGGTGACTAGAAGTTGTTTGTTTTTTCAAATATATCTGTTCTTTGGATATGCTCTTCTGTTTCTTTATTGTGTTTTCTATGCTGCCTTTTGTCTATTTAATGATTCTAGTAATATTTTATGCCCTTTCATATTATTTTATTTGTGCATCTTCTCAACTGTTGGATCTGCATACTTAATTTCATGGTTGTTTATTTTTTTGTGTTGTTTGTAATTTTTTATCTTAAGGGGGTTCTTCTGAGTTGTGTATGTTTGTCTTCGGAGTGGTTTTACATTTGCTTCTTGCTGTCACCGAAGTAGAAAATTTTAGGGCAAGTTTTTATTTACATTTCTTGGTTTGGAATTGCTGTGCTACATAGCGTAAATTCAGATCCCACACCTGCTTGTGGCAAGATGGATTTTGATTTCTCAGAGTTGACTTTTATTTTTCTTCCATCCATCCAGAGAGAAAACCTCTTTGCTTCTTCTTCAGGACAGCGTTTTTCTTAGCCCCATTTTAAGGACAAAGCTATCCTTCAACACTCTAGGCCATATGAAGGGTAGCTCAGTTCCCCTCAGTGCAGTCTGCAGAAGCCACATCTCCTGTTCTTCTGTGTACTATCCCAGCATCATTGCCCGTTAATTGCCCAGCTTTGAATTCCTTTTTCTTTCCTAGCACCAGGGGATTTCTTTATTTACAGGGCTTTGTTCGTTTTTATTTTAAATTTAGCATTTCTTCTGTGTTTTTATAAAGAGGAAGAGGACTGTCCACTTTAACTTAATCTGACATGTTTTCTGAAGTGGATAATAACTTTAATAGTTTTTTACTATGGGAGAGTGTAAATTGTAAATACCATATTAAATTTTTTCATTATACAGTAGAGAGCTATCAGAATAATACTTCGCAAACTTCTAATGTATTTGTTGCCATGTGGAAGTGTTAGCTAAGTTTTATATCTTTTCCATGTGATTTTTTTCCTCTACTTTTTTAATTGTAACGTAGACTCTGGATCAGTCCATTTCCTGACTCAAATGAATAAGGAAGATCAAAGTGACAAAGAACAGACTGTAGAAGCTGAATTTTCAGTGACAGAAACTCTTTCTAGTCAGAAAACCTGTGTGTTTCCTTCGGCCGATTCAGCTGTCAGCCTTTCCAGTGACCAGAATACAACTTTTCCTGGTATTGTTCGTCACTGTTTTTGTTTACATTCTTATATTTTCCAATAGACTGAGAGACATATTGTAACAATATACTCGGTACTGAGTAATGTTTACTGGGAATATAGTTATGACAGATTTGTGAAGCCATTTTGCAATATTTATAAATTTCAGACAAAGGGAACTTAAAAATTGCACCGTTCATGTGAAGAACTATGTTGTCGTGTCACCTTCATATACTGCCAGCAAGTATCATACCTGTATAACGTGTCAATGTTAAATATATAACTGGAATTACTATTTGATTTTTGCAAAAATTGAGAAATTCAAATTCTGCCAATTATGAGAACCTTGAGTTTTAACTTGAAAACAAATAATGGCTATTATTTATTGAGCTTCTACAATGTGCCAGACATTGCTGCCTTATGTGCACTGACCCTGGTGCAAGCCTGACTGTGAGGGCGATGCCATTAATATCCCCCTTTCACAGTCGAGAGTGTTAAGACTTAGAAACTTTAGTGCCACTTTTCATTCCAGTTCATTTAGAGCTGGCAATTAAAAATGGACTCTGCAGCCCTAATGAATACATTTTGGCATATGAATAATAGAGCATACTAAATACAACAGTTGAACCATTGACAGAGGTTTTGAAATCTTTTTTCCCCTAGATATCAATGGTCAATAATGATGATTTTACTGTTTACAATGTTTTATTACCATTATTAAAGTAATATAAGCAGTAAAGAATGCTATTTTTAAATGGCATTGCCATCATTTAAATAAAAGCTCTTATTAAATCTTGGGATTTTTTCCTCTTAGTTCTTTTTCCCCTTAGTTCCTTTTCCTCTTAATTCCATTTGCATTTTAGTTATCATCATATGGGAATAACCATTTCCATTTCAGAGTTGTTGTGAAGATTGAGTATTGTATATGAAACATCTAGCAGAGAATCTGCTTCATTCCTGTAGGTTCTTGGTCAGTGGTGGCTTTCCTCTTTCCTCTTATGGGGAAGAATTGACAAATGAGGTTAAAGAAGTTATAGAGGGTGTAATTGTATCTGAGAGGTTTAAACTCCATTTTATACCTGGATATCATTGGAGAATTCTGAGCAGAGAAGTAAAATGTGTTGAGGAAAACTAGAATGGAGGCATGGATCAGATAGTGAGCTGTCAAATTCATCTGACCTCTGAAACAATGAGGACTTGGTCAGTGTCATGGGAAGGGAAACAATATACAGAGACATTCTGAATAGGGCGCTGATGGTGCTGACTGAGTGGATAAGAGAGGAGAAGGAGATGATGAATGGCTGTGCAGTGTTATCACACTGTAGGAGCAAGGATATGATGTCAGACTCTGGAGTTCCTTAAGACTAAATGTAACAGTTTAAGGTGACACTGGGGTATAAAAGTGGACATATTTAGGACCCAGTTTTTGACAAGAAAGTGGAGTTCGATGAGAGGTTTAGGCTTGAAAAACAGATGTAAGAGCCTTTTATCTAATTATATAGTTAAGATTTAGAGAGTTCATCTGTTCTCTGCAAAAAAGATGGGAAAAGGGCAAATATCAAGGAACCAGCCTGTGAAATGTCACCCATTAGAGAAGAGAGCAAGGGGATCCTCACCAGTGAGGGAAATGGATGAACAGACTCTGGTGAAAGGATTTTCAAGAAAGAGTGGCTAATACTAGTTTCACCAGCCATCAGGAAGTGTGACATCAACAGTGGACACTCAGTGTCAAATCAAGAGTAGAAGGTAGGTCGGTGACAAAGACAGGCTCAAGAAACTGTATGTATAGAATACTTAAGAATTCTGACAGCAAAAGGAAGTAGAAAAATGAGATAAGGGAAATGAAGCCAAAGATCATTTCAAGATAGGGATAAATACAAACCAGTATTTCAGGGTAGAAGAAAAGAAAGTAGTAGGGAAAAGAAACTGAAAGCACAAGGTTAAGGAGGTGATTCATTTAGGATTGTTACAGCTTAAGTTAGGATGCAAGGGGAAAAAATGTTAATAAATGTCATAACGTATAAAGATGGATAAATTAAAATGTTATTTCAATGTTTGGTTGTAATTTTTTAAAAAGTCAAATTCTTTTAAAGTGTAGAATTCAGATGCCCTGATGGATGTTTTCTTCTTCAGAGTTGGCCTCTTGGAAAGATGTACAGTCATTCCCTTACTTCTGGTGCTCAGAAATAGCTTAGATTTCCTCTTTTGAAATTGACTTTCATGTGTTCTTAGCACATTTTCTGAGTGTTCTTAATAGTAGCAAATAATTTATTCACTGAGGATACGTTTAATTTTTGGTGACAGCCATAAGTTATTCAAAGATATTTCTGATAAATAAAGTAGATGATCAGGATGTTACTATTTAAAATTTGGGAAAAAAAAAAAAGTCGTGGTTATCAAAGAATGAGGCTGATCTATTGTATTTAGTAAATTGTGAAGGCAGTCCAGGAAGAATTTCAAAAATGGTTTGAAAATGAAGTAAGGGTAGAATTTTGATCTATAACTATTTTAAAGCTATTTGGATATAACACTTTTCTGCCTTTTGATGAAAGGAATCAGTTTCATTTCTTAGTAGTCATTACTTTTATATTGATTAATCTGTACTTACACCATTATTTTTTTCTTTCGATAGTTGAGGCTTTTCTTAATAGTTAAACTTAATTAATTGCTATTAAGAACTCAAATGCCCACACTCTGAGAACAAAGATAATGTAAAATCCTTGGTTTGAGGATTAATAAGTTAAAACATGTACTTAAGAAAGCAAAATTATTTAATATTAAAAACATGTGGACATATAAGTCTTAGGAGCTGAGTGGATTTATCTTAGTATAAGAAAATCTTAAGAAAACTTTTGAGAAGAGCTATCAGAACACTTTTCCCTATGTTAACTCAGTTCTCTTTAAGGGTTAAACATAAAGAGAATTGAGTTAGATTAAATGTTTTGCTTTAAGGATTTACAGTTAATATTGGACAAGTTTTAAAAATTATTTTTTGGGTCATATTTTTCCAAGTAAAGGCTTCTTGGATTTAAATTTAGATGTTTTTCCAAATGCATTACTTTTAGATCACCAGGTTTTGGGGGGGTTTTTTTGTGATCGTTTCAGTAAATTGCACGCCAGTATTCTAAACTATACTAAGCAAAGAAAGATTGTACCTCTTAAAGTGTATTATTCAGAGTACTCTGGATAGAAAAGTCATAATCTTAAATGTGGACAATATTCACTACCAAATAGCGTATTCAAGAGAAGGATAAATATGCTGTACATATATCTTTAAACTAATTCGGAGGTTTAAAAATATTTTAATTTCTGGTTATATAATTTCTAAGTCAGGTTAATAATTGAAAGAAGAAAAAAATAACTGACCTAAAACTTTTCTTACTAATATTTCTTTTTTTCAAGGTGTGAATAACAGTGATGAGTTATTTGAGAGGTAAATATCTGAAGAATTAATTCACAATTTTACTTAAAGTTGAGTATAAATTATGTGTTCTGGAAATTTTGTTATTCAGATGTGTATGAACTTCTACATTACATTTTTTCATAGATTAAAGGAATATAATTCATCCTTATTGGGAATGGGATGTTTTAAGAAACTGAAGATTGTTACATCCCTTACTGTTTTAGCACAGGTAGTTAGAATACCACAGACAACATGGCTACATTTTCTTTTATTGCATATGAATTAAATTTTAGCAGTCAAGACAGGCAGAAGTTGTCTCCTGAGCCTTATGTTGCTTTTTAAAGAGCACATACAAAATCAGCAATTATTGATAATTAGGTTTTTCCACTTAGGATTACTGAAATTAAAGAAATAGAAGGAATAGTAGTTATATGTTTATCATTTTTGTGTTTATTTATGCTCTTGGCATAGTTTTACATATTTAATTTTGCTTAATGTAAGTAAGTTATAGATACTGACTTATATTTCTCAAATTGCATTTGAAGTGTTTCAGTAGATCCACTCCAGATGACTGGATTGACTGATATTGCAGACATTATTGATGATCTTATAACAAAAGATGGAGTTTCCAGTGAAGAGCTGGGCTTAACAGAACAACAAGCTAGGAGAATCTCCAGGTAATCACTGAATAATAAATTTTTTATCCATGTAAAATGTTTATAGTTCAAGAGTATTCAAAATTGGCCATATTTTAATGTGATTTTTATGAAACAAATTTGAAGCTTAGAATAGATTTTTTTTCTTCATGCTGTTTGTACTACACTTGATCTTAGCCAAAAGGCTGAGAAGTGATCCATAAATACATTTTGTGATGTTTATGTGTCATTCTCCCCTCTCCCCCAACAGAATATAGACTGATTTATTTAACTTATTCAGCACTTCTGTATTGTGTGAGTATTCCCAAGGTGTTATTACTCTTAAGTACAATGTAAATTGAATCCTGTTTCTTCTTAGAAGTAATTAATTCATTGTACTTTATCCTAAATATTAACCCTAGGAATACATTTTAAATGCTCTTTCCATGAAACATTAGGTTAAAATGTTTTTTCTTGCAACCTTTTCTGGGCCAAGAACTGGTTCCTGATAGAGTAAAGGCTGGCTCTCCTACCACTGCCTCCTTGAAATACATATACCTCTTGGCTTGTTTATAAAAGATAGTCAACATTACAATTAGCAGCTCTTCTTCTGTTTCCTAGTTCAGTTCCACTGACTACCTTGATGGAAACGCAGTGTATTATAATTGAAATTACAAGGCTGTTATCAGGAAACAGTGTACCCAAAAACCTCAATTTCTATTTAATTAGTGGAATTATCTGCTATATTACGACTGCGTATCAAAACCATGTAAACAATAACTTCCTTGTAAAACTTTTAGTTACTTTCAATTACAAATATAGGAATTTGCCTTCTTTTTTAAGTTAATGATCGTGTCATAATGTCATCAATAATGTATTAAAATTCAAGAATTGGCATAAAAGTAAAATATGGTTTCTACTCTTGAATGGAGATAGAACTATAAAAAGAGTATGACCTAAGACCAAATTATATTAGTGTTCTGTCGGAGCTTCGCAGAAAAGTCAGTCAAAGAAGACAGGTTTACCAGTTACGGTATTTGAGCTTCATTTCACAGGATCAATGGAAATTCATGTGGCTTAAAACTAGAAGAAAGTGTATTCTAGGCAAGAATATAATATGCAAAGGTGTGATGGTCAGGGAGGGCAGGGAGTTAGATGTGACTGGAGTTTATACATTGGAAGGGGAGAGGGTCCAGATGGGTGTGCTGGTCGCATTTGGGGACCAAAGGCACTCCGAGGTACCTTATATACAGGCTGTAGGGAGGTCGGCAAAGGGCTTTAAACTAAAAATGATAGTTATTTACAGGTCTTACTACTTCAGTAGTCTAGACGTGAGTTGGCTCAGAATGGAGAGTAGGGGTAACAAGCATGAGTAAACCTGGAGACTCAGGAGAAAGTGAGAATGATTCTCTTCTTGGATGACAGAGCTGATGATTTTTTTTTAGTATGATAGAAAATATAGTTTTAGATATAAGGTGCCAGCAGAATATTCAGTTGCTAACACTTATTGGTACGTTAGTTTTAGATCCTCTCAGAAGCAGATGCCAAAACGCGATTTTTATTTGTTTGTTTGTTTATTATTTTTATTATGGTGACATTGGTTCAAAATGAGATTTAGTTGAGCAAGAGATTTGGAGAAACACCTGTGGGAGGGGAGGGGAGGAGCTAGAGGAAGTGGAGGCAGCTGTCAGCAGTGCCAGTGTGGATCTGACCCTGTGTTGGGGTCCCCAGGATCACCTCAGGTTCAGTGATTTACTAGGAAGACTCTCAGAATTACTCATGACTATAGCTTATTACGGCACAAGAATTGAAAGCAAAATCAACAGAGGGAATAGGTACATGTTATAGATTCCAGGGGAACCGGGCATACGCTTCCAAGAATCCGCTCCCCGTGGAGTCACACGGGACACACTTAATTTCTTCAGCAACAGATTGTGACAAACAAGTAAAATGTTGTACACCAGGGAAGCTTGTAGAGACTCAGTGCTGAGGTTTTACTGGGGGCTAGTCAGGTAGGCACCCTCTTCCTGGCACACACCGAGTCCAGACTCCCAGAAGGCGGGCAGGTTTTCAGTGTCAAACACATCGTTTGTTTCTGTGACCCATCTTCCATTTAGAATGGTGTCCTCTTTGTACCAGAGGGTGATGATTCTGTCCTCACACCACTTGTTTGCTTGGACCAATCTCAATACCAGTTGTGTTAGTTCTTATCCTCTGGGAAGCAGAGGCCAAGATGGGATTAGATGCCATATGAGATTAACTGGGAGAAAGCGGTGAGGGGAAAAGGAAAAAGCCACAAGTGGGGAGACACATCAGACCACACCGCAGATCTGACCCCTCCCTGCTAAGGGAAGAGGGTTGAGTGAGTAGAATCTTACGGTATAGTACAGTAGTTCTAGGGAGGTTTCAGGTGAGTCAGTGGTGAGACATCAAGCCAACGGCACCCATCAGAGGCGTCTTATCTTGCAGGGATGGGCCAGCCACGGCATTCTTCCATGCCCAATCACTAACTTGGGCCTGTCCTTAGGAAGCATGGCGTGGGCATGAACGTAAGGCTGCATCCAGGATGGCAGTGGTTTAGAGGTCATCTCTATAAGTTTTGGAAGTGATTGAGATAGTCCAGGAATAGGTTACAGGTGAAAAGTCCCAAGCAGAACCTTTCAAGACATTAATATTGAAGTGGGGAGCACAGAAGAAAGAAGCCAGTGTAGGAGGCTGCATAGTGTTTTGAGAGTTAGAGAAAGACCCAGGTAGAAGTTTCAAGCAGAAACGAAAAGCCGATTGTATCAAGTGTTACAGAGAAGTCCAGTAGGATGAAGACTGAAGAGGTCATTGGTGGCCTTTCTGAGATCACTTTCAATGGATTTCAGGGCACGGATTGGAGCAAGTTGACTAGAGATCATAAGTGTATACTACTTTTTAAAGAAGGGGCAAAATCTTTCCAAATAAATGGTATTTAGTTGTGATACAACTAACAAATTTAAAATCAAGTATCTTGCCTATTAAATTTCTCAGAATTCAGCATTCTTCTGGTAGATGTCCTCAAAGAACTGAGAAAGAGAGAAGAGAAATTCAAGTCTGGATGAAAAGAAAACGAAAAGAAAGAATGGCAGAGTACTTAAATCAGCTGGCAGAAAAGAGAGATCAAGAACATGACCCTTTCTGCCCCAGGAACAATCCAGTAAGTCTGTAATATCGAGGATAGTGAAACTATTACAGAGTATGTGTAGTTTTCTTCCTGGCAGATATTCAAGATAAGGATTAACATGATTCTGGATGCATTTTTTTATTTGACAGAAAAGTCAGCATTTTACTTAAATTAGAAAAAGTTCAGAAATTACCGTAACAAAACTTAGCAGGATATTGTACAAAGCGTGTTCTATTGAACTAAAGTATTTTCTCCCCCTGGCTAATTATGGCCCTAGCATTTTAAACAAATGAAAAGTTTGAGTGACTGGGTGGCCAGTTGGAGGTGATCCCTTAATTTTCAGTGAGAGTCAGTGGCAGCTGAACAACTCTATGTGTTTCAATGTCATTTTAAAAATCAATTTTCTATCCATAAATCTATAAAAAAAATTTTAAAAGTTGTGGTCCAGTCACGTACCAACAGAACAATAGCATCTCTCTCTCTCTCTTTCCTTCTCTTGCTCTCCCTCCCCTTCCCTGCCCCCGCCCCCCCATCTGTGTGTATATGTATGTTTCCGTTGCCCTTTAAACTGTCAACATTTATTTCCTGAGTCCTGGCAATGGACATTATCATTCTAGGTCAGAAATATTTCTTCAGAGGTGCAACAAAGCAGTGTTACTTTGATAATCACATTACTATGAAAATCACATTTAGGTTACACTTAAATTACACTTTATCTTTTACTTTCTAAAATAACATATATAGTACTCCCTTTTTTTCAGCATCATTAGGGGAACACATTCTATAAGTGAATTTTCCAGATAAAGTTGTCACATTTAAGCACCAAATGGTACGAAAGTAGGCGAACTGTTATTTAAAGTGTGTAATTTACTTACTTGTATCTAGAGAGCATGTTGATGTCAATGTAACATTTTGTCAATAGCTCTGGGGACATGGTAGTGGCCTTCAGCGCTACCAAGGTACATGACCAGAATCTTAAATTGCATGTGTATATGTGTGTGTTCCTCTACCCCATGGGGTGGGGGCAGTTCTTATGTCACACTTCCTGTCAGCTACGCAGATACCCAGGATGGTTAGAATTGTGTCTAAATTTAGAATACATTAACTCTGAGGGAATCAGGACTTTGGTTTGTAGACTTTGTGACATATCCTTCAAGATTGCAGACATTATTTCTCTATTTTCAGCTTCTATTTCCGTAAAGGTATGGAATTAGGGGTTAATGTAATTACAAATTTCATTTGAATTTCTGTCAGAAATCACTAAGACCTTTGATTTGTTACTACTATATAGGATCTTGAGTGAATTCACTTCGGTGTGTACATTTTTATATACACAGTTTGTGTGAAAAGACAAACTCATTAGTGACTCGACAGTAACTCTTAATGTTCTGAAGTAAGATGTACAGAGCTGGCACTTCCCAGTTGGCCTCATGGTGTGTAAGTTTTGAAGAGTTTACAAGTCACAGTGAACTCACTGCAGTAGGTTTCTGGTAAACATTTTAAAACATGAAAACGATGGTTTTAAATGTCTGGCTCATTTCTGCTTTATTAACCGAGCTCTTGGTGAGATTAATCACAAGATTGAGTATGAAGTATAGGTGTCTCCACCCTTAAAATGTACCTGGATTTTATTTAATTAAAGCAGCATGTAACATTTTTATGTTTTGTGCTGGGGTCAGAAGCTTCATCAAATATGATAGTATTTTGCACTATTTCCTAAATAACAAAATTATGTTTTAACTCCCTCTTAAATTGATTGGTGAAAATTTCATATTTCCACGGATCATATGGTTTAATTATTTGTACTGAACAGTAATGAACTAACTGGATATTTCTTGTGCAGTTTTACATGACTTCCAGGGAAATTAGGCTGAGACAAAAGATGAAGCAAGAAAAAGACAGGTGAGTTTGGTGGCTGTACCCTTGAGCCTTCTCTCTAGCTTGCTCACCTGAGGCATAGATAATACATAAAGAATTCTAGTTTTCACAGTAGCCCTTTTTATCAATTATGGGAGATAACTGCAAGGAAAATAATTAGACTCCACTAGCCTATTTAGGAATTTGCTTTCGAATATTTACATACACCATTCAATTTTTATGACTTTTATTTCTGCTATTCCCTTCCCTCTATGAATCAGATACGTACTTTGAAAATATCCCAAAGGCCATAACTACAGGTATCTTTAATAATACTGCCTAATGGTTTTCAGACATCTGAAATTTGATACACATTTGAAGTGCATTTGAAAAGCACTGAAAAAAACAAATGGTAGATGGTCTTCAAACACTGTGTGCTTTCCAGAAAGATGAACTGAAAGTGACTCTTGTTAAATGTTTAATTCTTTCTCTGAAGGTTGCTACTCTCTGACCACTATAGTCGACGAATCTCACAGGCATACAGTCTGATGAATGAACTGTTGTCTGAGTCAGTACAGCTACCAGCAACCGCACAGAAAGCATTGCCGAAAAAATGTAGAACTGCTCAGATTTCCAGACGGCAACGCTCCCTTTCTCCACGAGGGTAAGACAAAGTTTGGCATGTCATTTGGCTGGCAAGATATAATGTCAGATGTGATAAGAAGAAATGTAGCGCCTTTGTGACCCAAGTTCAGTGTATTTGCATCTTCCTTGCTCAGAATTATAATTAAAAAGTGAAGGAAAAAGGCCCCTAATTATGAGGTCTTTGTAAGTTTTATAGAATTACCAATTGTGTTAAATCTCTAAGATGTAACAAAGCACTTAAATATACCTAATACAGTTTTGCTATGCATTCAATCTTATTTCCTTCTTTCTATAGTTTTTGTCAACATTTCCTTTTGTAATTTGCCTCCTAACTGGTCTCCCTGTGTGGCCACTTGGCTTCACTCTTAGAGAAACAGTCCCCACCAGCTGACTGCTTCTTCCTGCGCTGTCTCTTCCGACCCCACCCAGTTATCGCCGATTCAGTTGTAGATACTGTTATATATTTCTTCTTAAATTAGTGACCTGTAGTAGGTTTGGATATTAGCTCATTAGTCAGGAATTGAACATAGAATGCTAAAGAAAAGTACTCATGTGTAAAGTTTCTAATACATGGCAGATACACACACAAATTATGTTCATTGATGACTGTGAACAACAATTGGCAGTACTTTGTTGTTAAAAATTACCACCTTTGAAAAATAAATGATTACGATTATAAACATAATCACATAATTTAAGAGCCTAAAGGAGATGCTACCCAACACAAACCTGACGCAGATCACTCTGTGTGTGTGTGTGTGTGTGTGTGTGTGTGTGTGTGTGTGTGTGTGGCTTGAGGTATACTCAACATACCAAATGCCCTGTGGATCTTTTCTAGAATAAAGTAAGGTCTTAATACATAAATAACTACTAAATACATAGAGAACTTGAAATGAATGGAGAACAAAAAATAGTTTTCTTTGAAAAAAATTAATGAAGTTTGAGGTACGAGATATGAAGAATAATTTGTTGAGAACTGTTATACACAAAATATATCACTGAGGTACAGAATAGTGAATGTATTCATCTGAACTAGAATTTGGGCTTTTTGAAATACTATATCACTGAAATGAAATTCTAGGAATATAATATGTCATTTCTACTTTAGAGAGAATCGGCATGGTCACGATTTTCCAATAAATCGACCTGGAAAAGTCAGATATTTATCCAAACCAAGTTATATCCCAAAAGGAAAACCTTTTGGGCAACCTCAAGGCTCGCCCTGGCCACGCGGTAAGACTTAAAGCTTTTTTATCGTGGAATTTTGATCTGTTCTGTGTTGTCCCCAAAGTTGTGTTTTCATTAGTAAAAGCTGTAAGCCTTAGTGAAAAGCAGTTTTGATTTCAGCAGAATGCAAGAGCTTGATAAAGACTTAGCTCTACTGGGATTTTGTTCTGTTGCTTTGAAATAAGAATACCCTAGGAATCTTTTTAAACTAATGGCCTTTTTCTAATAGAATTTGAATGATCAGTAAATTTGATAGGACTTATTTGGGCATCTGTTTCTTTTGTATGTCTGGCTAAAGATGTAGACATTTTTATAAATCAAGTCCTGATAGATTTCAGGATGGATATATCTTGGAAGAGAATAGTAAGAGGCTCAGATTGAAATAATATGTTCTTACCCTTTGAACATTCTTTTCCACATTTAAAGATATAATATCTGTTATTTATTGCTAGCTTTCCTTAGTTAATTTTACCATATTCGAATTTTGATTCTTTAAAACATACTTATCTGTAAAATGATTACACATTAAAATGTATAATCATAGCTAACACGTAATATAAATGTATATAGCTAGAAATGAATAATAACAACTAATGTGCCAGACTCTGTTTAACCTCATTAAATTACAACCCCGTGAGATATGCAGTCTTATATTCCCATTTTAAAGATGAGAAAACCAAGGCAGAGAAAGTTGAAATAAAACTGTTTAAGATCAGCCAGCTAGGAAATGGCAGAACCAAGGTTAAAACTCAGTCTGGATCTAGAGCCTACACACTTAGAACGTACAATGCAGTATTCTGTCTCAATTTAGAAAATTGAAATTTCCATAAATTTCAGTCTTTTTGGTTAATTCTTGCTTTTGATCAACAAATTAAAATAAGAAAATGCTGCTCCTTTTAAACTAAAATTTCAAAATAGTAACCATTTCCTTTTAGAAATTTTTATTTTACACCTACCTGATACATATGCCAAAATTTCAAAATATTCAAAATTGGCAGGGATTTTAAACTATGATTTCTTCATATCCAATGGAAAAGTCTTGGATTATGTGGAAATATGTCTTCTTTTGGACTTTTCCCACGTCACACCTGTGTTGTTATCCTGCACTTTATTGAATCGAGGTCTCAACCCTCCTGTGGTCCCCTCACTTGCCCTTGCTGGACTGTGACGAGGTGCTCCTGCTGCTTCTGGGCTCAGAAGCCCTTAGGACCTCACCCCACGCAGAACTAAGTCCAGACACTCTCCCTGGCCTTCAAGGCGTCCTCCCCTCTGCCTCCTCCAGCTCCCGTTCCCTAAAAACACT